AATGGGCTGTAGCATGTATTTGGGTAACACCTAAAACATTCATTAACCTGGGAGGTAATGTGTCCGATCCTTTGGGATTGGGAGAACCTTTTCTTTTATACGATGAAATAAGATTTACAGAAATGTTCATCATATTTGACGTGGGTACTTGGATGGAGGCCTGAGGATCACTTTTGTTGTTTGGACTTCTGAGTAACCAGTGAGGTAATAAACTGTTTTATGCTGATTTGGTAACTCTAAGTATTGGAATATGCACCAGCTTTTTGGGGTTTGGCTGCCCCACTCTTTGCAGTTCACCCTAATTGAGTGACCACAGCTGGCTCCCCAGTAGGACCCCGGTCACAGCTTATAAGAATGTTATGTGGGACTTTGTCAAAAGCCGTACTGAAATCAAAACACATCAGGACTACAGCTTCCCCCCATCCACTAGGCCAATAACCCTGCCAAATGAAGAAAATCAGGTTTCATTAAAAAGTTAGTTTTAAACTATCATGCAAGCTGAGAAGTGTAAGTGTACAATGTTATTCACCACTACAAATTTAAAGTCTTCCTACTCTTGTGCTTTTCTTTTTAACATTTCAGCTGTCAAGAAAATATAATGACAATTTCACTAAGCAGCATATGTGGAGCTCAGGAGACATTTGACTGTCAAATATGCCAAACAAGCAATTCATAGCTGAAGGCAAACAAAGAGAATCTGAAATCTGTTCCAAGGTTATAGTAGCAAGTCAGCCTCTCACTTTAGAGCCTCTTTATTATTTGACACAAACTGCCCTCTGCACTTCTACCTCTTCAATACTCATCATTAAAATGTTTTAGGGTTTGAGATGCTTTGAAAATTAAAGAATTAAACAACCAGTCCCTGCTAGTTTGTGTTTATACCTGTACTGACATCTGGTGGTTATTCTGGGTAACAGAGTATATGTCAGGCCTTTTCTCCCCTCAAATCACCATCTAGAAAATTATGGACCTGAGTGGTGGTATAAGATAGCTCACATATTCTCTCAGCAGATTTACTCCTCATCTATGCCAGGGATGATGAATTCCAGGAGGGAAAAAAGGCTTATTTCTGATGTTTAAGCTTTTTTCCTTTATCTGCATCACCAAGGAAGACTTCCCCAGTTATCCTCATGTATATATACAAATTGGGAAAGAAACTAAATGCACGGCTGGGGTGGATTAACCTTTGGTGGGCCCAGTGCCAAACATATTTGTGGGCCCCCATGGAGGCAATGGAGCATGGCATGGGGAGGTCAGTCCCTGGAGCGAGGGGCCAGCCAGAGGCAATGGGGCATGGCATGGCATGGCAGGGGTGGCCCTGCCCTGCCCAATGCGAGGGCACTATTTACAAACCAGCAGTTGCCAGATGCACACTGGCCTCCCTGGCCCTGTGCTGCCAGCATGCCCCTTCCCCTCGGGGATGAGCCTATGCCATACCACACATCCTCCCCCACCCAACACCCCCTATCTCCCTATGGCCAGAGCCCCCTGGACCCACTATGCCCAGCACCCCCCAGACCCACCCACAAATGCACAGCACCCTGCACACCACCACCCCTGCCCATAGCCTCACCACAACTGCCCAGCACCCCCTACACAGAACCCCCACTCCCTAGTGCCCCAACACACACAGATTCTCCCCCCCTTCACAACCCAGCACCCCTCCTCCCAAACTCCCCCAAGCCCTGCCTACAGGCTGCACTCACCGGCCTTGCTGGGAAGCAACTGCGTCTGCTGGGCTGAGCCGGCAGTGCAGCCAGGGCTGGTCCCAGGGCCGGGAATCGCTCCAGCCCCTCGCGAGTGGCACAATCAACCAGGCCAGGGCCTGCACCGACTGGGCTCCCTCAATACACACTTGCCTGGAGGGGCCCAGCCAAGCCCTCTGCACTGTCTCCCCCACCCACCTGGCTGAGACAGGCAGGCTTCTTCACCAGTCCCAGGCAGCTCAGCTCCAGGGAGACAGGCGGGGCCCCACAGGTGGTGGGAAGCAGAGACTGCCCAGAGCCAGAGGTGCACTGGGGTCCGGCCAGGGGGCTGAGAGGAGCAGGGTGAGGCCAGGGAGCGGAGAGGGGCTCTCAGCCAGCCGGCAGGCAGGCTGAGAGGAGCAAGTAGTGGGTAGGGGGAGCCAGTGGGGTCTCGGGGCACAGTACAAGCAGAGCAGGCCGGGGCCCCTTCTCAGCATGGGCTCGGCTCTATGGAGCCATTGTAAACCCGGCACTGCTGAGAATCTATGTATTAGCTTCATCTGCCTCCCCAATTGCACTGCTTTATCTAGCTAGGAGACAAAGACAGAAATTAATGGTCTCCTGTTGTGTTTGTTCTTAATTGATCCACAAGTAAGATCAGGATATTTGCCCCTCACCACTTCCTGTTTTCATTGTCGCTCTCAAATGATTTCCCCGTGAGGAATAAGTCTCTTGCTGTTAAATTTTTAGAAGAGGAAATTAAATCTGGCGTTTCAGTATTAGCTGATGTAACATTCTTCTATTCCATTGTATCATTTTACCACCTACTCATTGTTTTCTTCACACAAATGCATCAAAGGAAGTATGTTCCTGGCAAGAATACTTAGTCATAAAGAAGGTGATGCTAGCTTGGGTACAATACAACCTGAATCTCTGCCTAATTTGGCTGAAAGGGAGGGATGGGGAATATAGAAATTATTCCACCCATTCTTACAGCAATTTTCAATGTGCCAAAAATATTTTATACATATATGGAGCAATCATGTATGAGGAAATAGTTGTGTAAAAGCTCAAAAGAAATATGCATTTTAATTTTTTAATTTTATTTTTTACACTATAACAAAAGTGCCCATTCCAGGCTTTGGGGGCCCTTAAAACATGCAATTTTAAAAAATGAAAAACACATAATACCTAGCTCTGATATAGCACTTTTCATCAGTAGAGCTTCAAGTACTTTACAAAGGAGGTCAGCACCATTATCCCCATTTTGCAGATAGGAAAACTGAGGCACAGGGAGATGAAGGGACTTTTCCAAGGTCATCCAGCAGGCCAGGGGCTGAGCTCGGAATGGAAACCAAGTCACCTGAGTCCCATTCTAGTGCTCTACCCACTATGGCATGTTGCCTCCCAGCTTTGCCCAAGTACTCCCAATACAAGGTACCCCAGCAGCAGGAAAAATCTAAGTAAAGAACTTAACACCAACCTCCCATTGAATATCTGGGCCTACGTTATTGTTCCTCAGATGTCTTACTTCGTATTTTTCCAAGATGAATCTTAGCCCTCCTCAAGTAATAATGGTGGTATTGAGGTAGTGCCTAGCAGACACAGTCATAGACCAGGATCCCATTGTGCTAGGTGCGATACAAAAACAGAGACTCTCTTTACTCAAAAAGCCCACAATTCAAGTAACTTCCTAAATTCTAAGGACAATCTTGCATCTAGTCCCATGCACCCTCATACAGCCCCACTGAGGTCAATGGGGGCTCAATGAGAACACAGGATCCACTCACATGGAACAAGTTTCAAGACCAGGGCCTCAATATTTCCTGCCTGTGTCTAATTCTTCTAGGCTCCATTATATTATTTCTCAGTGAGGTTTGAAATAGTTCTCAGTTTAGGACATAATGCAAATTTAATTAGGGTATTTATCCCTTCTTCCAGCTCATTAATAAAGAAATTAAATAAAACCTAAAGCTACTCCTTGATCCACCCCATTGGTGCATTCTCTCAATTTGGTATCGTCACCAATTTACAGTCCTCTAACCAGTTTCCAATCCCTGTTATATTGTAACTGTCTACACCAGTATCGTTTTCAAGTAAACTTTTATGAAATAATAACAGATGTATTAAGAAAGACTAAATATATTGAGCCAGTCTTGACCCAAAGGAGTTTTGTTGATGGTACAAGATATATCTTTAAACTAGTGCATTTGCAATTTGATTTTAAAAAAGAAAAGAAGCAAAGCAAATCTGTCTGGCATTATCTGTGCCTTAGGGATAGGATTTCAGCAGAAGCAAAGTTAGGCCAAAGGTGACTGCTTTTGAAAGCCACATCCTATCAACCTGGGCTACTCACAGCACATCAGATGTGCAGATTCTGCGGTCCAATAGCTTCTGTTTAATTTCAAATTTTGTTTCATTTACCCAGGAGAGACAGAAAAATATGTGAAAAGAAACCCAGATTTATCTACAGACTGATATGAAAAATTTTAAATTAGTCCAAACGATAGAAAACCTTTCACTGGGCCCAAGACCAGCCAGCTATTGCATGTTTTACTGGGTATTTTTACAATTGTATAAATTCTTTTAAATTATCTAAAAAGTTTTTATAGTTTTGAAATGGAACTGTGAAAAAAATCAGTGTAATTACGTCCTAGCAAATGTTGTGATTAGTCAACAGAGATGAATGAGTCATTTACAGGAACCTAAATATAAGGGAATTATTTAAAAGGATACACAAAGGAACATTACGATTGGAACAAATTTCCAATGTTATGGACACAACACTCTTTCCCTCAGAATCAGCTGGAGTGTGGACATTTACTTTAGTGGAAGCATGATTTGGCACTTTGTAGGGAAACAGGCAGACTTTAAACCAAACCAAAATAGTGCTTTCACCACTGCTGAGGGCAATGATTTGTGGTCTTTTGCCAGGGTAAAATCCTGCCGACCCCACCCCCGAATTCAGAGTTTTTTACTTCAATGGGACCAGGATTTCACCCACTCAGCCCACTGAAGCACCTGACTCCAAATGCCCTGACTAAGAGACAAGTATTGGAGGGTGAATGTGGAGACAAAGTTGCTGTGATTAAGCTCATACCTTAGCAGCGAGAGAGAAGGCTTTTCTCTTCCACCTTGATTTGTCATTACACTAGTCCAGGAAGGGAGATAAAATACTACAAAAATGTTAAAGCCCCATTTACATAAATTCCAAGGTCTTCACAGGCTATAAACCAGGCCAGGATTAAATGACGAACAGCTAGCATTGCTAAAATGATTCATACGAGAATAAATGAGAGCCTGGTGGCCATGCGCTATTATTTCCATTTTTAATCAGTTTACACTTTTATTTTAAACGACCAACAAGCTGTGTTATCTGGTGTTATTTAAACAATACAGTAATCTCAAACCCTTTCCCCCCACCCCCTCCAACCACTCTGGAATCCCATGAACACTTGGTCACGCTCTGTTCTCTGTTACACCAGTATAATTATTGTTGCCTCCTAGTGGCAATTTTTAAGCATTGGCTGTAGTGTTTATGGTCCAAGATAAAACTCAGAGATAAAGTAAGAGTCCCTTTTAGCCTGACGTGATCTGTAATAATGCAGTAATTTTTAGAGGGGATAGGGTGAGTATTCAGGCATGGACTTTCCTTTAACCACCCAGCTCTAACACAAGATATCAAGAGGGATTTTGAGTGGAATTATAGATGGGCTTTAACCTACTACTTCTTTCTCATCTGCCATTTGCACAGAAAAGCCTCCCAAACCCCACCTCTCTGTTGAATCTTAGCTTTTGAGGTGTCCCCACAACTTCCATAGAGTCCTTGAAGAGCACTGTTAGCTAATCCACCAACACAGAGACTGAGTATGTCACTTCTAACATTCTAGCTCCCATCAGGACCAAGAACAAGCGCTCCAAGTCGGAAAGAATCTCATCAATGTATTAGCATGAACGTACCAATAACTGAGCCACCAGGACGGCTTACACTGGCACATTTACGCCACTCTGCACATCAAAGAAACAGCTGAATGCTGCAGTTATCAGGCGCGTCAAAAGATTCTACAAAATGGTGAGCTATCCTGAACCAGTAAAACACTGAAAGGAGCTCAAATGTGGATATCAACAGGAATTGCAGGGTCTCCAGCGCCTTGCAGGATCTCATCCAATACGGGAAAATCTGAAGACATAACAAATGTCTAAAGGTGGAACTCTACTGGGAAGAAAGGGCTCTGAAGAACACGCAGGAGAAAACTGGAAAACCAGCTAGCAAGTTTGGCAAATTGAGACGTTTCATAAAATAAAATTAGTGATGCTATAAGATACGAGATCATCTTTGAAACAGAATTTTACAAGTTTTATGCACAGCAAAATATACAATTAATATATTTTTGTGCTAATCAAGCAAGCATATGTTGTCTGAGCCCTAAATATAAAATTTTCCCATGTTGAGATGACTAGATTTGATTCTATGTAAAAATATGATCCTTAAATATAGAGCTATTTGATGTCCGGTGTATTGGTTTTCACTTTGACCTAGAAAATGAATTTGGCAGATTTAATTTAAAATCTTTTCACAGAAGTTCCATAAAGAAGCACAAGAGAGTCAATAAGACTGGACAGCCTGTGATTTTGATTCTCAGTAATTGATCCACAAGGTAGGGGTCATGTTAGGCTTTGTGGACTCCAACTTCACACTGTTCAAGAAGTAAAGGGCATAATTCATTGTAGGGCCTCAAGCTTTTTCAATGCCTGGGAATTATTTGTGAACTGACAAATCATAATTCACACAATCTAATGCTGAATTTCTGAGCTGCTTTGCAAACTGGAACATCAGGGCTCCATTTCTACTTATGGGGGGCTCTTGGTCATCACTTCAATGGTGAAGAATCTCAGTGACTTCATCTACGGCGATGGGATGCAGCATTTAAATGTACTGTTCTTCATCTCTGTCATTAGCAAGCAGTGACCACTTGCCACCTTCTTCCTCTCTAAAACCGCCATGTCCGGGCAGCTTGTTTGAAGTCAGAGAAGAGAAAGACACTTGACTAATCTGATCCCAGGCAGTTGGCCTGGGTGAATCCCGTCTCCTGTCGTCCATCCCAATGTGAACACTGATTTGGGAAGGTGTCAGTGGCTTCATGTGGCCTTGAGCTTTTGCTTCATACCTTTCAGTTCCTGGCTTCTTGTAGCTAGGAAAAGTGGAATAGGAAAATTTAGGATCACCCAACAACTTCAAGAGCCTGTGTAGAGAACTGACAACAGTGTCAGAAAATGTCGGACTTTTCTGATTAATCATCATTAAGGCTACGATTTTGTCATGGAGGTCGCGGAAGTCATGGAATCCGTGACTTCCAGAGACCTCTGTGACTTCAGCCTGCAGCGGCTGGTAGTTGCAGGATCCTGCCACAGCTCCCAGCTGCCATGGTCGGTGGGGGAACCCGGCAGCTCCAGGACACCACAGGCGGTGGGGCCTCCCAGAGCTCCGAGCAGCAGGGGGACCCTGCAGTTCTGAGCCACAGGCGGTGAGGACCCTGGAGTGCTGAGCCTCCCTCCACAGATGGTGGGGGCTCTAGAAGCTCCGAGCCGGGACACCCACAGCTGCCTAGATACTATAGGCAGTGTGGGGGCAGCTCCCCATTTTGTCAGGGATATTTTAGTAAAAATCAGGAACAGGTCATGGGCAAGAAACAAAGAATCATGGCTCATAATCTGTCCGTGACTTATACCATAAATACTCCTGTTTTAATCTTATCGGGGGCTGGAGGGAGGGGATCCTGTGGCACCAGCCGCCGGGGGAGAGCACCGGGGGGTCCCCGGCTGTTCCAGCTGCTGCCGGAAGGTGGGGAGCCCTGGGGGGCCAGCCGCTGCTCTGGCTGCCCCGGGACCGCTGCCGGGAGCTGCCCAGCTATGGCTGCTCCCGCTGCCCCTGGGCCAGCTGCCAGGGGCCGCCAGAGCAGCAGCTGGTGCGACTGACCCTGGGTCCAGGGCTGCTCCAGCAGCCGCCCAAGCGGATGGCTGCGGGTCAGCCGGTAACAGCTGTCGCCAGGGCCACCTGAGCAGCTGGTCCCGGGGCCAGCTGCTTGGGCAGCCCTGGGCCCGTGGGGTCAGCCTCACCGGCTGCTGCAGAAGTCATGGAGGTCGCAGGAAGTAATGGAATCTGTGACTTCTGTGACCTCCATGACAAACATGGAGGCCTAACTATCAACCACCAAATAGAATAAATGTACTTTTCTGTTGCCTTCCCTTTCCCCCTTTCTCTCTGGCTAATTTATAGCAGACTAAAGAAACAGAATTACTAGTATAAATCCATTGGTAACCCATTTTTAAAAAGTATCCATTAATGCTGAATTTTAATGGAACAGCTGTTTGAATGATTTGCCATCATGAGCTCATTTGGTATTCACCCGAAAACCCCCACCGATCATCAACTCAGTTACTATTTAAGTGGATCTCAAATACAGCGGCACAGGTGTTATACCTTGTCAAAGTTTTAGCCCTTACTGAAAGGATAATAATTGCAGTAGGGAAGGGACCAAGGATTAGATAAAATATCCCTCAGCTAAAGGATCATTTGGTAATTTTAAGTTTATGGCAGCCCATAGACATGTCTCTAATGTGAGCTCCAAAACCAAGAGTCTAGAGTTGCTGAGTGCTTTTTGCAAAACTTACCATTTCAGTTGCAGGGAAGATAGCACCACAGACACTGAAGAAGCTGCCATTGCAGCTGACCCCATCCAGGGCTGCAGCACAATTCCAATAGGCATGAACACCCCTAACAATGGAGAATATATCAAATCACACTCACATTACTATGAAATTTAGTCTCTTAAAATATAGAATATTCTGTCGCTTTAATTTTAAAATGGGAAAGTCCAACAGTTAAATGGACAGATAGTCCCACAGCATGACTCGTGGGGACTTCTATAAACAAGGATATATCAACATAAATTTAGATGGGGCTTTTCAAACACAAGCTCTCAGTCCTGGAGTTGGATCCAGATGGGTAGACCTTCTTGCGCCCATGAGAAGTGCTTTGTGCAGATGCAAGGGTCTGTCCCTGCATGGATCCAGCTGCAGGACTGTGGTCAAAGGTACGACATTCTATTTGTCTCTCTCTGCTACTATCGCAATAAAGCAAAGCAAACAAACAAGAAAAGCCTGGAGGGAGGATTATTGAGGATAGAAGAGAGGACTGCTCGAAGAGGTAGGTTTTTAGGAGGGATTTGGAAAAGGAAAGTGTGCTTGATGGAGGACAACAGGAAGAGTGTTCCAAGTATCATGATAGAAAGTAGGCAATTCGGGAGCAGGGGTGGGGAGAGAGGGAAGGAGACGGAGGAAGCAGTAAGCTGAGAGGACTATAAAATAGGGGAAAGAGAAAACAAGGGTAGGAGGCAAGATTATTTAGGGTTTTGCAAATGAGACATTTGAGTCAGAAATGGGGATGATAGGAATCTGGTGGAGGGACTCAAGGAGGGGACATAATCATAGCAGTGGGAGAGAATGTTTACCTTAGCATCAGCACTCTGGACAGACCTAAGGGGACTTTGTGAGGCAGGGAAGCTAGAAAGGAGACAGTTACAGTAATTAAGGCAAGATGATGACAAGTGTATGAAGAAGAGGGTTAGCAGAGGGGACAGGAGGATTTTTGAGATCTGAAAATGTGACCCTTTCAGTGGTCTGATTAGCTGCGTGTCTCATTGTGCTTTAAATGGTGCTTAAAAATAAAAATGTAGGGCCCAGTCCTGAGCGCCTGAGTCAATGCCCTCAAGAACTGTAAGAAAGGCAGCCAGTTAGCAATGGCTGGGCTGGAGGCAGATAGGCAGCCCTCTCCTGCCATCCTTCGTGTCACTTGACTTACACGGGAAGCCATCTGAGGCAGGGCTTATTTCATTGTGTTTATACAGTACCTGAATACGGGTTCAAAGGTTATCTCATGGTGAGTATTAGGGTTGTTGTATGCATGTATAAAGACAGCCTTCAGTGCCATAGCAGAGCATCAGATTTTGATATTTTCCAGGAGCTGTAATCTTTAACACACCCCTGGGAGGCAGACTGTAATTATTATCTCACTCTGACTGGTGGGGTTTGGCCCAAGGCTGCACAACCAATGGGATTCAGGGTTGCTGTAGCCATGTTGGTCCTAGGATATGAGAGAGACAAGGTGGGTGAAGTAATATCTTTTATTGGATCAGCTTCTGTCAATTGAAGGGACAAACTTTTGAGCTTCAGGTGTGGGGAAGGTAACCAGAGCGTCTAAGTTAAATACAAGTCAGGACAGATTGTTAAGCATGCGGGGTTCACTCGTGCTGTAGGAGACTACTTAAAAACACACACTAAAAGCTATGGACTTAACAGAGACACTGGCTTTATGGCTCACTACAACAATTTGTAACACAACTTACTACTGGCTAATCCTTAACTGTCCACTTCATTTTAAGTGGTCTCGCTTGCGTGAACCCCTTATGCTTAACAATCTGTCCCATCTTGTATTTAGCTGTGACACTCTGTATACCTTCCCCACACCTGACGGAGAGCTCGGTGAAGCTCAAAAGCTTGTCCCTTCCACCAGCAGAAATTGGTCCAGTAAAAGATTATCTCGCCTACCTTGCGTCTCCCAACAAATTGGAGTCAGATCTGAGAGCACCACTCATTAGCTCTTTGACAAGCTGAGTGCCAGCAGTCACCTACCCGCCGCTATAGGTATCCCAAGCAGATTATAAATTAAGGCAAGGACCAGATTTATTCGTATTCTTCTTACTGTCCTCTTTGATAGATGAATACTAGCCACCACATCCAGTAAGTCATTCTGCAAGACAAAAGCGCAGTGAGACAGTTCTTTGCAGCCCCACCCATGCACACTTCTCAGAACTGACACAAGGAAAAAGATTACGTTGACCAACTGAGCTCACTCGAATAAGAACAACGTCTGCAGCTTCAATGGCAACATCCGTGCCTGTTCCAATAGCAATGCCAATGTCCGCTCCAGCCAATGCCGGGGAATCGTTGACTCCATCTCCAACCATGGCAACCTTCTTCCCTTCATTCTGGAGTTCCTGAACCTTCGCGACTTTGTGAGAGGGCAGAACCTCAGCAAAGACCTTTTTGATGCCAACCTACAAGCAGGAAAAGGAAAAAAAACCAGTAGAGTAGAAAGTATAGATGAGCCTTCTGATAAACCTTAACCATGGAAAAGAAAGATTAAAAAGTGATGATTATTCTGGGTCAAACTCGTAAGGAACAGTAGAGTCCCCCATGCTTCAACTCCACGGACGGCTGCACTAGCAACTTGCGTGGACTCTGAAGGGCAACACAATTTTCAGAAAATGGGACTGAATGCAGTCAAATCCAGAGTGGCAGCTGCAGAGATTACAGGCTCCAGCAAGCAATGCTCCTTCTTGATTCAGGCACTGCATAGTACTGCAGGTCCTACTGTAGGGCTTCCTTGGCAGAACATACAAGGCAAGTCCTCTAAGGGTTAACTCAGTCATTTTCTAAACAGGTAAGTATTGACGTGCTTTGGCATCCTCCTTCCCCCATTATTATGTACAGTATTAGTTATGTTACTGTAGCACCTAGGAGTCCCAATCAGAGGCCAGGACCCCGTTGTGCCAGGTGCTGTACAAACACAGTCCCTGCCACAAAGAGCTTATAATGTAAGTATAAGACCAGAGACAACAGAGTGATATAGATAGATGGGGGATTACGAGCCTTTCACTTCACACGTAACATAGAAGTCATAACTAACAGGCGTCTATATTAGTAAATATAGTGAAACCTTCATTATTCGAAGGTCTCAGGAAAACATAACACACAATATACAAGAAGGATTACGAGAGTCATGCATGAGCAAAAGAAAGCTGACGTTACTGTAACAGACAAGGTGATTACGTACCACGCTATTGTCCAGTTTTGCTATTTGGTGGATTACTTAAATGAGTAATTGAAGGTAACAGTAGGAGCAAGAGTAAGAAAAAAGGAGAGTAAAACAGAGGGAAAAATGGGAGCACCAGAGGGAGAGAAAACACAGAAAGGGTAGAAGAGTGGTTAAGTAGAGCGATGATGTAGCTATACCTTGGTAGGTGACATCTATGGGCTATGATCAGATACATCTTATATAAGCCGCTGTCTGTGCTTTAGAAAGCAACCATAAGTAATAACAACTCTGCTTAAGGGGCTGATCCTGTTACCACTGAAGTCAATAGCAAAACTCCCATTAACTTTAGAGGAAGCAGGACAGGGCCCGAAAGGAATTTTCCTATGTCACTAGAAGGAACACTACCTTTAAGTGAAGGAAGCAGGAGGCTAACCGTTAGGGGGGAAATCACTGTCAAAAACCAAAAGCCTGCATTAGTCTTTTTTCTCTTGGGAGCTTTTGCGAACTGTCCTAGGACTCAGTTATTTCAACAGGACTTCATAGACTGCCCAACTTACTGCTCACTTCCAGTTCATTTAGCAACTTCCTTCTTGGCACCATCAAAATGGCTTTACAAAGCTGTGCCTATGGCTCATAAAGTCACAAGAAAAGACTGCAAAGGGATACAGCAACTTCTGCCAGGGGCTGAGCATCCGCTGAACGGTGCTGAATGCTCATTTGGTCTTCCATGGGAGCTGATGGAAGCTCTGAGACTCCCTTGTCTGCTAGCTCCCACTGTAACTCGATTGCATGAGCCTACCTAATTGTTAAACTCAAGAGGTAAGAAATTGTCTTTTTTCCTCCTTTATGTAAAACACCTTGCACATCTATGCAAAGGCTAAAATAAGTAACAACATAGTTCACTGCCCCAGGCCGAGTGTTTAGAACTGACAATATATTTGCTTTAATACAAAAGAAGAGTACCTGAGTAGCAATTGCTTTTGCAGTTTTTCTGTTGTCCCCTGTTATTAGCACCACGTCTATTCCCATATTTTGCAGGGTGTGCACAGCGAGTGCTGCCTCCTGTTTGACGGTATCTGCTATTGCGATCATTCCACACAACGCACCTTCAAAAGGAAACAGTCTCAGTTAATTAAAGAGCTGCAGAAAGGCATGGAAAGCAAAGTGGGACCAAGGGCATGTCTACACTGCAACTGGGAAGTGTGGCTGCAGCACATGTAGATGTACCCAAGCTACCTTTGATCTATCTAGCTCGATTCACAATAGTAGTGAAGCTGCAGCAGCATGGACAAGCCCCATCTGCCCAGGACCTTGGGTACCTACTCTATTGGCCCCACCCATGTCGCTGCTATTGTAACTCAAACTGGCTTTGATCTAGCTACATCAAAAACTTGCTCAGGGATGTTCACACATGCTGCAATAACACCTCCGGATTACAGCGCAGACACATCTCAAAGAAGCTAGTGTGATTCCCCCACCCTGCCCTTGCTTGTGAGTAAATAAATGTAGGACTATCAAATACATTACTTCAGCATTTATAATATTTTGAGTAAATTTAGGGTTCACAAATATAAGTAATGATCACTGTCTGAAGACTGCTACAGTGCAATCTTACACACACACACACACACACACACACACACACACACACACACACACACACACACACATAGCTCTGACTATATGTTTCTGTTCAGATCTAACATTTAACATCCTTATTATTCCAGTCCTGGATGGCTTTTAGGCATGCAATGCCAAAATGGGCCATATGAGGTGATGATTGCCTGATGACAAATAGGGACTTGGGCCAGAAATTGCAGTGGTGGTGTCATTCAAGTCTGGATTTGAATGCATGTCTCCAGAGGGAAGGAGCTACCTGTCTTTTGCGCCACCTAACTGCTTAGCAGATGGCTTTCTCTCAAAATATTTTTTTCTTTTTACAACATTACACTTGTCCTCTACCGAGATAGTCTCGCTGAAAGTTGCATGCCTGCTGCCTGCCATGCCAGTCTGAAATATTTCATGTTGACAAGTACTGCAAGTTGTATTTCAAAAATTAAGGGCTTCTCTGAAATGAGTCGCAGCCCCCAACTCTTTAATTACAGTCACTATTTGTGGTGGAATAGTGGTCAATCTAGGATTTTTTTTAAAAGTCCTGTGTTACAGTGAGAAAGGGTAATAAGTCAAGGGTGGCGATGGGGAGGGTTATCTCCCAATGGCAGGCCCAGCAACTGTAGAGCAAATCCCGCAGTTTGATGCTGCTGGGAAAAAAAATAAAGGCACTGAGTCTCGCTGGACCCACTACTGATAATGGGCAGCAGGCTGAAAAGTAGAAGTGTCTGCAAGAATAGCAATACGGGCACAACAGGATCAGACCAGAATGATTAATTAATATTTATGTAACAAAGCCCAGAGGCCTCCTGTCAGGATCAGAAGACCATTGTGTTAGATCAGGGGTCGGCAATCTCTGGCACGCGGCTCGCCAGGGTAAGCACCCTGGCGGGCCGGGCCCGGTTGTTTTCCTGCCGCGTC